GAATGAACTCTGTCACTGTGGTGTGGTTCCCATCCACCAGGGAATCCATCAGACAATAGGGCTGTTGCCAGGACAAATCTAGAAAGAATAGATTATATGAAAAATTTATAAATACATTGATTTCATTTATCTTAGTGCATACTGAATGTCATCATAATCATATTCAAAGACCAGTATACATATGCAATGGAAAATGATACTATCTATCATTTTAAAACTGATTTTAGCAAAACCACCCTCAAATTTCTATCTTATATTCTTTCTTTCTCTTGATGTTTGCATTTTCTTAAATCTAAAATGTATGGTTTTAAATGAAAATAAAAATTCAAAATAACTAAACAAATCCACAAGGAAGACTGAGTACAGTGATAGGGAAGAACATAAATAGGTTATTGTATGACAAGCTCAGCAGTTAAGATATATTTATAGTTGGTAAATATACATACATATAAATATATATGCTGGCTAAATGCTTAATGTGCAGCTAAGAATTACATACCTATCCAAGTATGTGTTATGCATATAGTGTATTACATGTTACAAAAATGATATTTTGCATAGGTATGTGAGTTCTTGGCAAGGTCCCAGAGCCTTCAAGTGCTCTATCAATTAAACCAAGTCTCAACTTCCAGCTTTTTGGTGCTTTAGTGGAGACAATAATCTCATGGACTTTGCTGCTTGGACTGACTGTGAATCTTGAGCCTCAGATCTCAGCCTAATGAGTAGATAGCATTACAGGCATGAGCCCTGTCACCCAGCTAATATTATGTTCTCTATCATGTAGAATTGAGTTAGAAGTGTTTACAGAAGACTATGTAACTTGCTTATAATTACACAGGAAGTTACATACTCAAACTATTTACTTATACAAACTATTTTCATAGTTTGTATTTGGATAATTGCCAGTTACAAATATATAACTTTCTTTGTTACTATGCAATAATAAAATTAAACTATAGTGAGCACCAAGTCCAGTACATCCAGCAATTAATGTAAAACAGATTTCTGTAATCTTCTTAATGCTAACAAGTGATAGAGTTGCTCAGATTGTTTTACATTTGAAGATAACCATCAGTTAAATAAAACACTTTTTTAGAAGTCATACAAAATTTCTACTAGATATAAGTTCTATATTAGTCCTATAAAGGAGGTTACCTATTATTTCACCAATTGTTCAAGTTTATTGGATATTTTTATATATTTGAAACAAGTAATAATGTTTTAGCAAATACATTGAAATGCTAATACAATCACTGTACAAAAAAAACCTTTAATATCAACCAATATAAAGCATATTCATTCATATGAAACAAATAACTTTCTACTATAAAAATAATTTTTCACTGGAAATTTTAACATAAAGTAAAGTCACTTTGAAAATGATATATATTTGTATAAAGAACAAACTAAAAAATTTAAAAAGGATCTCAGGTTTTGTCCATATAGATCCTATACTCTAAACCTGCAGAATGTATGTACTAAACTTTCTGTCCACCATGTTGACCCTTAAAAACTCAGATGTATAAAAACATAAGTGTTTCAGAAAAGATTTGTATATCTTTACATGTAAACCTCCAAATTCATTTTAAGTATCAACACAATCCTAAGCATCTCAAGCTAGCATTTTCTCAGAGTGTAACTTCAGGTAGTGCTGAGATCATGTGAGTTTCTCTTATAGTTAAATAAGTGAGACTCAAGAGGCAAAAATCTTAACGAAAACCAAACTCCTACCTCTTGGAATGAGAACACATTCAGCTTTGAGTAGCAGCACAAAGTCACAGTGATCATATACCTTGAAATATGTTTTCTGTTCTCCTTTGGGTCTAATTCCCCAGTGAAGCTGGAGATTCAAGTATGAATGCAAAAGCATCATGGAGCATTTTCAGGTTCTTCAGTGGATATTGGTCAACTCAATTCATATAATAATAGTGATCTTACAAGATGTTACCAATTCTCTGGTGGTCAATTTATTCGTTTCTATCTTGATCTTCATGCATAGACTTATTATCTTTGTTTGACATTTACTATGGAGTATAATTTGATGCCCTGAAAAAGTGATAAGAATCATAAATATCTTGATAGCTATGATGAAGAAATAGTGTCAAACATCAGCTATAAAATCTAGCATTAGCGGGCTGGGAAGGTGGCTCAGTGGTAGAGCGCTTGCCTTGCATGCTCAAGGCCCTGGATTCGATTCCTCAGCACCACATAAGCAAAAAGAAAAAAGCCGGAAGTGGCGCTGTGGCTCAAGTGGTAGAGCACTAGCCTTGAGCTGAAGAGCTGAGGGACAGTGCCCAGGCCCAGAGTTCAGGCCCCAAGACCGGACCCAAAAAAAAAAAAAAAAAAAAAAAATCTAGGACTAGCTATAACCATTCCATACGGTTGTTCATGAGACCCTTGATTTCCTGTTTCTTTTTCTCACAGTATTCCAAAAGACATTCTTAGTGGCAGTCACTATGGGGCATGGTGACAACTTTTAAACCTCCAACTCCAGCATACAGAATAGTAAGAAATTCACAATTATTATGTATCTGATACTAATAGTTGGCTTCGACCATTCTTTTCCTCTTTAATTTAATTAATATTATCATCTATAATAACTAACTTAAAAGTCTCCTAAACTTAAAGTCTCACTAGTTTGGTTGTTGTTGTTGTTTCCCATGTGTGTTATCTTGTTTTGTTTGTCTGGCTATACTTTTCACTGTGTTCCATGGGAACAGATAAAGTTTGGGTTATGTAGTTGTATACTGATTTCACCCTGAGATAATCAAGTTTCCTGACCTTCCTCCATGCAACCTCATGGCTTACAATTTCCAGACACAAATTGTTCACCTTAGCTTTAATATGTCCTTCTTGCCAAGTGTTTTAGATTGGTATCAGTAAAATATGCTGTGGTACGTGTGAGGTAGAACTCCATGTAAAACTCTGTTGTGAATAACAAAAAAGCTCAAGAAGCTCTGTAAAGTTAATATATATATGTGCACATTTAAAGAAGCCTATATGCCTTCCAGATAAGAAAGTGTCAGACCATTAGCACATAAGAATTGCTTTATTGAGTATGAGGATTGTGGGAGAACACAGAATCTGCAACATGAAGACTCATAGACCCCTGTTCACTTACTACTCCTAGTCATAGAACCTAACTCCCTGGAGCCCCATTTTGAGGCTGTGGGTTTATAACTACTATAATCACAAGAATCAGTATTCCTTCAGAGCTTGCATTATATCAACTCCTATGCTAAGTATTTTACCCAGCAAGAAAGTGTTTTTATTATCTTCATTTTTCTGAGGAAAGGACAGAGCTTGGAGAGTCCAAAAGACTTAGGCTGAACTTTGGAAAGCAGTATGGAGGCTCCTTAAAAGACTCCACATAGAGCTCCCCTATGACCCAGCAATCCCACTTTTGGGCATTTACCCAAATGTTTACAAACAAGAACACACTAAAGCTACCAGCACAACTATGTTTATTGCAGCATTATTTACCATAGCTAACATATGGAACCAACCCAGATGCCCCTCAGTAGATGAATGGATCAAGAAAATGTGGTATATATACACAATGGAATTCTATGCCTCCATCAGAAAGAATGACATTGCCCCATTTGTTAAGAAATGGAAAGGCCTGGCAAAATTTATATTTAGTGAAGTAAGCTAGGCCCAAAGAACCATAGGTCCCATGGTTTCCCTTATTTGCAATATCTAGTATACGTCTGAGTCAAGCAGAAAAAGTAAGATAAGGTAATGTTAAGGAAATGAACACTAAGATATGTATTCAAATGTTTTTATTTTCTTTCATGTGATTGTTTCTAACGCATTTATAAGATTATTTCTTTGTTGCTTTGTATGTCCCTCCCCCACAGTATAACCCCTGCCTTTACTGTATTTGATGTCGGTATAATTGGTGGAGGGGAAGGGGAAAAACAAATCATTTAACTAGGGATACAGGTGAACCCATTGCAACAATGAGATGCACAAGTCGTTATGTCGAAAACGAAATTTACAACTTTGTGGGGTAGGCAGAGCAGGGAGGATTGGGGGGCAGAGGGGGAGAAGATGGGAAGGGATGGGAAGAGGAAACAAAAAAGAAGGCTACAATGCTTGATGAGAAATGTACTCATTATCTTGCCCATGTAATTGTAATCCTCTGTACAGTATTTTCACAATTTAAAAAAAAAAAAAAAAAGACCTAGGCTGAGGGAATGAGAAGCTTACCCCAACTGTCATTTTTGTACTACCCATTAAAGTCTCCACTTTAATGCTTCCCACTCCCCACTCCACCCAGTCGCTGGAATGTTAAACCTTCTGGGAAGCCATCTGCAACCTTGCAGACCACATGGCAGCACTCCCATATGTGGAAAGAGTTAAGAACCCTGAAGATAACTCCACATAATGAAGGCTGGAATTCTGTGCACACACTGGACTTTCAAATGGACTGTTCTAGAAGGACATCTGAGACTTGCATGTCAGGACAGACCCGACTTTCTATGACTCAGGCAGTGACATGTACTACACAACCAAGAAGATGGACATTAGTGGAAAGAACAGAACTCGCTTACTTACAAGAATGGATAATATGAACCTAAATTCTCTACTAATTCCCCTGCTAATTCCTTTAAAATACATATATTTCATCAGATTAAAAAAATAATAAAACAGGCAGACTTTGTGTTTCCAAAATGCCGGCAGCGATAGATGTGGACACCCCAAGTGGCACCAGCAGCGGCACAGGCAAGAGGCGCTTTGAAGTAACAACGTGGAATGCAGTAACCAGGTGGGCCTGGGATATTGTGGTAAATAACTGTGCCATCTGCAGGAAACGTATTATAGATCTTTCAGGCCTTTCAATTCCATTGAATCTCTTGCTGGCTAAAAACACAGCAGTTGTGCCTTTTGGACAACAGAGAGTGGGAATTCCAAAAGTATGGCCACTAGAAAAAGGATTCTTCCATCAAGCTTAACTGTTTTGTTATTCATTTAGTGACTAACCTCTCTTTACATAATTATGCATTAGCTGGAACACTGTCTTTTCTCCTTTGTCTTTTCATTTTGCAGTGATTCTGCATTCTGTGTCCACTAAAATCCAGTTGGATTCTAAAAATAAATAAATAAATAAATGTTTGATGTTGCCTTGTATGAATTAAAAGCAAGGTTATAAGGTTAGGATGAGGAAAATATAATAAAAGAGTTTTATATTTTCAATAGATTAGCATATACTGAATTCTAGATAAAATGTGATATTTAATAGCATATACTATTTAAATCAATTGGTTTAAAAATATTGTAAAGACTTATGACTACAATGTTAATGGAAAAAAACAATACAAAAGAAGGAAAAATCACAAATGAATCAAGGGAAAGAAAAAATAAGAAAAAAAGTGCTATTAAAGAGCATCCACATGGTAAACTATTCAATTATTTTCATATTTGCTTGGAGAAACCTTAGAGAATTTCACCTTTACCATCTTTATTCAAGGTTATAATGAAGTCTCAAGTATTGAATAAGGTCATGAAAGCTAATATAAAATGATGCAAAATCAGAGATATAACAATAAATAAAACCCTACATTTCTTCACAATGTTCCTCCAGTAAATTCTAAGAAATGTATAAAGCGTATACTTTATGCATCTAGAAAGATAACAGGACACTGGGCACTGCAAATGATTCACTATGTTCAGTTCTACTTTAGGGTGATGTTTCTGAATTTGGTATTTGGAAAAGTATGACATCATTGTTGATTCTATTGCACCTGTAGAATGCCAAGCCAAAAGGAAATCAAATTTCAAAGGCTTCTTTTCTTTGAAGGACCAGCATATTCTTTTATACTTCTTAGACTCCAATATAAAGGATGAATCCATCAAAGCAATGGAAACAATGAACTTCCTGATTTTTCTGCCAGAATACTGAGAGGGATGACCTTGAAGTCCAGTTTCTTCATAAGTGTCTTTATCCAGGGATAAAATCAACTTTCCATTGGGTAGCAGACCAACAGTATCTTCATCAATATGTATATTGAACGTCAATGCATAGCAGGAACTTTTCCTTATAAAAGTGTTGATGAATTCATGTGTAATTAATTCATGAAGAGGTAAAATCTTCAGAGTAATAGGGTCGAGTTTCCATGACCAGGTTTTCAGTTCTTTTGGTAGTATCCCACATTCTGGGATGAGAAATGACACCTGGTAATTGTGATAGTGGGCTTCCACTATATGCCTGTGGCAAGACTTGTGGTGGCTGAAGTTGGATTTCTCACAGACTAGCAAGTGCCGGGCACCTCTCAAAGCGTTCACAGCATGGCCATAGTCTCCACTACCAAATGAGTACATTTCTTATCCAGCATTTCAACCACTTCCTTTGTTTTTCCCCTACCGTCCCTTCCCTCCCCACCTCCCCAACTCCCCTCTTCCTACCCACAAATTGTAAAGTACATTTGCAACATAGTGTCTTATACATCTCATTGTTACCATAGGTTAACCTGTATGCTTATATCAGCATTTTGCTGTTTCTTTTCCTTATTTCATTTTTTTTTCATGGAAACCTCTGTCTTTGATTCTGGTACCTTCCATTTTATATATACATTTATCTGATTTGGGAAGGAAAGGAAAATAACAAAATGAGAAAAGAAATACAAAGGATAATCCATGGCAAAAATGATATTCACAAGACACCTTGTTGGAAATGAACTTTTCAACTTGGGGGGGGGGGCAGGCGTAGGGAGAGGGAAGGGATAGTGGGAAAACAACAAATGAGTGGGTAACAATCAACAAGAAATGGACCTCAGTCATGTAACCATAACCCCTCTGTGCAGCATCTCTCCAATAAAATAACATTTTTAAAACAGAATACAACGGTCCACATAAAACACAAAAAAAGGAACAAAGAGGAATGAAGAAAGCTTACAACACACTTGGAAGAACATTAAAAGGAAAAGTATCTGTGTCACTATAGCTCAGCAGGGAGAATGTTTTAATCAGTGTGTTAAAGATCCCCTTCTTACTCCCTCATCATTTCAACCACCTCCCAAAATCACAGAAAGAATTGAAATTAAGTAATTTTATGACCATAAAATCAAGGAGCTTATCATCCAAACTAACACATTCCAGTAAACACTTTTTTGGGTGTGAAAACTTTGAAATAATTTTTAGCAAATTTTGTTTTCCAACAAGAGTTCATATTCTTAATCATAAACTCAGTGAGATTTCATAACATCACATCAAACCTCTTAGTTGGTACATGATCTCAAAATGAACTATGCTTACTAAAAATAGCCCAATAGGTAATTATATATCAATGATTTCAGGACCATTTCAGAATGTCAGTTTACTTTTAGGTATAGCTATTATTTCTATAATGAAGATTACAAAATACCAAGCCTAACTAAGAAAACACTTTCCTCCAAAGCTCTCTCTTCAGAGCCCCCTTGATCTCATTATTCCTGAGACTGTAGATGAGGGGGTTCAACATGGGGATCACCACCATGTAGAACACAGATATCACCTTGTTCTGGTCAGTGGAGTAGCTAGATTTGGGCATCAGATAAATAAACATAACTGTCCCATAGTACAGAGAAACTGCAGTGAGGTGCGAGGTGCAGGTGGAGAAGGCCTTCTGGCGGCCCTCAGTGGAGTGCATCTTCAGGATGGTGATGAGGATGTAGATGTAGGAGACAGCTATGACAATCACTGTGATCACAAGGATGGAGGCAGCAGTAAATGTGGAAAGAAGTATGAGGGCACTATCTTCAGAACAAGCAATTTCACGCAGAGGAGCAAAATCACAGAAGAAATGATTAACTATGTTTGACCCACAGAACACTAGAGAAAAGAAAGAAAGAGCAAAGGATGAAGCATTAAAACAACCACCTATGAAAGCTACTATAAGTAACTGGAAACAAACTTGTGTGGACATTTTGGTTGAATACAGTAGTGGGTTGCAGATGGCCACAAACCGATCGTAGGCCATGGCAGCCAGAAGACAGCACTCAACTGCCCCAAAGAGAAAAGCTGTACACATCTGGATGGCACATCCATGGTAGGAGATCATATTTTTGTCCACCAGAAAGTTAACTAACATGTTGGGTGTGACAGAAGATGAAAACACCATATCCACAAAAGCTAAATGGCTGAGGAAAAAGTACATGGGGTGGTGGAGCTGAGTGGAGACTCTGATTAGAAGGATTGTGCAGAGATTTCCAGCTATGGTCACCAGGTAGATGCACAGGATGATGATGAAGAGGATGACTCGAAGGACTGGGTCACGTGTTAAGCCCAGTAGAATGAACTCTGTCACTGTGGTGTGGTTCCCATCCACCAGGGAATCCATCAGACAATAGGGCTGCTCCCAGGACAAATCTAGGAAGAATAGATTATATGAAAAATTTATAAACATATTGGTTTCATTTATCTTAGTGCATACTGAATGTCATCATAATCATATTCAAGTACCAGTACACATATGCATTGGAAGAGGATACCATCTATAATTTTAAAATTGATTTTAGCAAAACCACCCTCAAATTTCTATCTTATCTTCTTTCTTTCCCTTGATATTTGCATTTTCTTAAATCTATAAAATGTATGATTTTAAAGGAAAATAAAAATTCAAAATAACTAAACAAATCCACAAGGAAGACTGAGTACAGTGATAGGAAAGAACATAAATAGGTTATTGTATGACAAGCTCAGATAGCAGTTGAGATATAGTTATAGTTGGTAAATATACATACATATAAATACATATATGCTGGCTAAATGAATATGCAGCTAAGAATTACATACCTATCGAAGTATGTGTTATGCATATAGTGTATTACATGTTACAAAAATGATATTTTGCATAGGTATGTGAGTCCTGGGCAATGTCTCAGAGCCTTCAAGTGCTCTATCAATTAAGCCACAGCTCTACTTCCAGCTCTTTGGTGCATTAGTGGGGACAATAATCTCATGGACTTTGCTGCTTGGACTGACTGTGAATCTTGAGCCTCAGATCTCAGCCTCCTGAGTAGCTAGGATTACAGGCCTGAGCCACTGTCACCCAGCTAATATTATGTTCTCTATCATGTAGAATTGAGTTAGAAGTGTTTAGAGAAGACTATGTAACTTGCTTATAATTACACAGGAAGTTACATACTCAAACTATTTACTTATACAAACTATTAATATAGTTTGTATTTGGATAATTGCCAGTTACAAATATATAACTTTCTTTGTTACTATACAATAATAAAATTAAATTATAGTAAGCACCAAGTCCAATACACCCAGCAATGAATGTAAAACAGATTTCTGTAATCTTCTTAATGCTAAAGTGTGATAGAGTTGCCCAGGTTGTTTTACATTTGAAGATAACCATCAGTTAAATAAAACTCTTTTTTAGGAGTCATACAAAATTTCTGATACCAGATATATGTTTTATATTAGTGATATAAAGGAGGTTACTTATTATTTCACCAACTGTTCAAGTTTATTGGATACTTTTATATATTTGAAACAATAATGTTTTAGCAAATACATTGAATTGCTAATGCAAACACTGTACAAAAAAAATCCCTTAATATCAACCAATATAAAGCATGTTCATTCATATGAAACAAATAAATTTCTACTGTAACAATTATTTTCACTAGAAATTTTAACATGAAGTAAACTCACTTTGAAAATGATATATATTTGTATAAAGAACAAACTAAAAAATTGAAAAAAGATCTCTGAGATTTTGTCTATATTGATCCTAAACTCTAAAACTGCAGAATGTATATACTAAACTTTCTGTCCACCATGTTGACCCTTAAAAACTCAGATGTATAAAAACGTAAGTGTTTCAGAAAAGATTTGTATAACTTTACATGTAAACCTCCAAATTCATTTTAAGTATCAACACAATCCTAAGCATCTCAAAGCTAGCATTTTCTCAGAGTGTAACTTTGGGTAATGCTGAGATCATGTGAGTTTCTGTCTTATAGATAAGTAAGTGAGACTCAAGAGGCAAAAATCTTAACGCAAACCAAACTCCTACCTCTTGGAATGAGAACACATTCAGCTTTGAGTAGAAGCACAAAGTCACAGTGATCATATACCTTGAAATATGTTTCCTGTTCTCCTTTGGGTCTAATTCCCCAGTGAAGCTGGAGATTCAAGTATGAATGCAAAAGCATCATGGAGCAGTTCAGGTTCTTCAGTGAATCATAACAAAAGTGATCATCCAAGATGCTACCAATTCTCTGGTGGTCAATTTATTCATTCCTATCTTGTTCTTCATGCATAGACTTACTACCTTCGTTTGACATTTACTAGGGAGTATAACTAGATGCCCTGAAAGAGTGATAAGAATCATAAATATCTTTTTTTTATTTTTTATTTATTTTTTATTGTGAAAATACTGTACAGAGGGGTTACACTTATATGGGCAAGATAATGACTACATTTCTTTTTTAAATTTTATTTATTTTTTTTGTGAACATACTGTACAGAGGGGTTACAATTACATGGGCAGGATAATGTGTACATTTCTTATTAAGCATTGCAGCCTCCTCTTTTGTTTACCCTTCACATCCCTTCCCAGACTCCCCCCCAACCCCCCCACCCAATCCTCCCTCCCTCCGCCCCCCCACACCAACTTTGTAAAGCTCCTTTTCGACATGACAACCTGTACTTCTCCTTGTTGTAAAAGGTCTACCTGTATCCTTAAACGACTTTTTTTTCCCTATCTCCTCCACAAGTTATATTGACATCAAATATAGTGAAAGCAGGGGTTATACTGTGGGGGAGGGACATACAAAGCAACAAAGAAATAATCTTATAAATGCGTTAGAAACACATGCATGAAAGAAAAAAAACATTAAAATACATATCTAAGGGTTCATTTTCCTGACATCACATTATCTGACCTTTTCCACTTGACTCATACATATACTAGATATTGCAAATAAGGGAAACCATGGGACCTATGTTTCTTTGGGCTTGGCTTACTTCACTTAATATAATTTTTTCCAAGTTTTTCCATTTCCTAACAAATGGGGCGATGTCATTCTTTCTGATGGAGACATAGAATTCCATTGTGTATATATACCACATTTTCCTGATCCATTCATCTACTGAGGGGCATCTGGGTTGGTTCCAGATCTTAGCTATGGTAAATAATGCTGCAATAAACATAGTTGTGCTGGTGGCTTTAGTGTGGTCTTGTTTGTAAACATTTGGGTAAATGCCCAAAATTGGGATTGCTGGGTCATAGGGGAACCCTATGTGAAGTCTTTTGAGGAACCTCTATAGTGCTTTCCAAAGTGGTTGAACAAGTTTACATTCCCACCAACAATGAAGTAAGGTTC